TCAAGACGAAAAAAAAGAAAGAGTGAATCTCCCAAGATTTAATACACAACAATAAGAACAAGAGCTAATAAACAACAAAAGCCTGATACAATACACCCAAAGCAAGAAAAAAAAAAATAGTTGGAGCTTGACCCCATGGACTTGCACTGAAAGATGCGAAGCCAGCCATTAGGCAGAACTACTAATCTGAAAACAGAGCCTGTGTACGTAATGAGCAAATATTGACAGCACTAGGCGTGCAGACAGACACCCACACACACTGGTTTTAAAACATTAACTCACTGATAAGATTATTTACATTAAACTGATTAATTTCACATATAATAGGTAACAAAAATTTATAATTTCCCTTAAAAAATACAATCAAAACCAGGTAATTAGTGATCTTTCCATGTCATGCGTTCTTTTGCTTATTATCTACAAACAGAAGTGTGCAATAAACCACAACTCGGCATGACCCAGGAAGGCAGGCAAATACATTGACTAAGCATGACTACATTTTCATAAAGGTCATTGCACGCGTCCCTTCACCTGCATTCTCTCAATGTAAATGAGCAGAGTATACCTGAAAAGGAAAAGGCTTGGTTTTCATGTTTACTTAATTCACATCATGTATAATAGTATGATTAGTTGTACAGAGGGGCAAAAAAGTATTTAGTCAGCCACCAATTGTGCAAGTTCTCCCACTTAAAAAGATGAGAGAGAGGCCTGTAATTGGCATCATAGGTAGACCTCAACTATGAGAGACAAATTGAGGAAAAAAAAAAAATCCAGACAATCACATTGGCTGATTTGGAAAGAATTTATTTGCAAATTATGGTGGAAAATAGGTATTTGGTCAATATCAAAAGTTCATCTCAATACTTTGTTATATATCCTTTGTTGGCAATGACAGAGGTCAAACGTTTCCTGTAAGTCTTCACAAGGTTGGCACACACTGTTGCTGGTATGTTGGCCCATTCCTCCATGTAGATCTCCTCTAGAGCAGTGATGTTTTGGGGCTGTCGCTGGGCAACACGGACTTTCAACTCCCTCCAAAGGTTTTCTATGGGGTTGAGATCTGGAGACTGGCTAGGCTACTCCAGGACCTTGAAATGCTTCTTACGGAGCAACTCCTTCGTTGCCCGGGCGGTATGTTTGGGATCATTGTCATGTTGGAAGACAAAGCCACGTTTCATCTTCAATGCCCTTGTTGATGGAAGGAGGTTTGCACTCAAAATTATCACGATACATGGCCCCATTCATTCTGTCCTGTACATGGATCAGTCGTCCTGGTCCCTTTGCGGAGAAACGGCCCCAAAGCATGATGTTGCCACCCCCATGCTTCACAGTAGGTATGGTGTTCTTTGGATGCAACTCAGCATTCTCTCTCCTCCAAACACGACGAGTTGTGTTTCTACCAAACAGTTCTATTTTGGTTTCATCTTACCATATGACATCCTCCTAATCCTCTTCTGGATCATCCAAATGCTCTCTAGCAAACTTCAGACGGGCCCGGACATGTACTGGCTTAAGCAGGGGGACACGTCTGGTACTGCAGGATCTGAGTCCCTGGCGGCGTAGTGTGTTACTGATGGTAGCCTTTGTTACGTTGGCCCCTGCTCTCTGCAGGTCATTCACTAGGTCCTCCCATGTGGTCCTGGGATTTTTGCTCACCGTTCTTGTGATCATTTTGACCCCACGGGGTGAGATCTTGCGTAGAGCCCCAGATCGAGGGAGATTATCAGTGGTCTTGTATGTCTTCCATTTTTCTAATTATTGCTCCCACAGTTGATTTGTTCACACCAAGCTGCTTGCCTATTGCAGATTCAGTCTTCCCAGCCTGGTGCAGGTCTACAATTTTGTTTCTGGTGTCCTTCGACAGCTCTTTGGTCTTCACCATAGTGGAGTTTGGGAGTGTGACTGTTTGAGGTTGTGGAAAGGTGTCTTCTATACGGATAACAAGTTCAAACAGGTGCCACTGATACAGGTAATGAGTGCAGGACAGAGGAGCCTCTTAAAGAAGAAGGTACAGGTCTGTGAGAGCCAGAAATCTTGCTTGTTTGTAGGTGACCAAATACTTATTTTCCATCATTATTTGCAAATAAATTCTTTCCAAATCAGCCAATGTGATTGTCTGGATTTGTTTTCTCATTTTGTCTCTCATAGTTGAGGTCTACCTATGATGCCAATTACAGGCCTCTCTCATCTTTTTAAGTGGGAGAACGTGCACAATTGGTGGCTCAATACTTTTTTGCCCCACTGTATCAGCACTGTTGTACTTTGGAGTAGGAAAGCACAAACTGTAACACACCTCTCTGTGAATTATACATTTGCTGTTTTTCAAAGCAGAGATATGGCTGCAGCAAGGCCATATTGCTGATTTTTAAATGGATACCAAGTCTCTAATATCACTTTTAGGCATAGCTGAATGTCTGTCATTTGAAACTAGCTGCAACACTTGGTGAAGGCACAGCTATTGAAACAAAGGAGCTTTACCATATGAAAAAACAGTACTTACTATTGAATCAGAATCTGCATTCTCTCTGAAAAAAAAAAAAGAACAAAAAAGATATTTAGATTAGATTCAAACACATAATGCAATAACACACTACTCTTATTTATCTAATTTAGCTGGTAGGTTAAATCTTGTAGAACACAATATATATCAGGGGTCTCCAAGCTTTCTAAACAAAGGGCCAGTTTACTGTCCTTCAGACTTTAGGAGGGCCAGAGTGACCAGTGGGAGTAGAGAATGTTCCAGTGTCAGGAGGAGTAAAAACAAGTGACATACTGCTGTAGTCAGTGGAAGGAGGAATAGTGTCCAGTCATTGGTATTAGTGGGAGGAATAGTGTCCCATCATTGGTGTCAGTGGGATGAATAGTGCCCCATCATTGGTGTCAGTGGGAGGAATCGTGCCCCATCATTGGTGTCAGTGGGAGGAATAGTGTCCCATCATTGGTGTCAGTGGGAGGAATAGTGCCCCATCATTGGTGTCAGTGGGAGGAATAGTGCCCCATCATTGGTGTCAGTGGGAGGAATAGTGTCCCATCATTGGTGACAATGGGAGGAATAGTGCCCCATCACTGGTGTCAGTGGGAGGAATAGTGCCCCATCATTGTGACAGTGGGAGGAATAGTGCTCCATAATTGGTGTCTGTTAGCAGATACTGCAAGTCCTGTAGGTTGTGAGGTGGGGCATCTATGGTCACAGCCTTGGTTTCCCAGCACATCCAACAGATGTTCGATGAATTGAGATGTGGAGAATTTGGTGGTCAAGTCAAAACCTCAGGTTCGTTGTATTCCTCAAACCATTCTTGAACCACTTTGCAGTGTAGGGGGGGCACATTATCCTGAAAAAGAGGCCGCTGCCATCAGGGAATACCATTGCAATGAAGGGGTGTACTTGATGAGCAACAATGTTTAAGTAGGTGGTACGTGTCAAGTAACATCCACATGAATGGCATTACCAAGGTTTCTCAGCAAAACATTGCCCAAAGCATCACACTGTCTCTGCCGGCTTGCATTCTTCCAATACATCATCCTAGTGTCATCTCTTCCCAGGTAATCAAAATACAGTCAGGTCCATAAATATTGGGACATCGACACAATTCTAACATTTCTGGCTCTATACACCACCACAATGGATTTGAAATGAAACAAACAAAATGTGTTTTAACTGTAGACTGTCAGCTTTAATTTAAGGGTATTTACATCCAAATAAGGTGAACGGTGTAGGAATTACAACAGTTTGCATATCTGCCTCCCACTTGTTAAGGGACCAAAATTAATGGGACATTTGGCTTCTCAGCTGTTCCATGGCCAGATGTGTGTTATTCCCTCATTATCCCAATTACGAGCAGATAAAAGGTCCAGAGTTCATTTCACATGTGCTATTTGCATTTGGAATTTGTTGCTGTCAACTCTCAAGATGAGATCCAAAGAGCTGTCACTATCAGTGAAGCAAGCCATCATTAGGCTGAAAAAAACAAAACAAACCCATCAGAGAGATAGCAAAAACATTAGGCGTGGCCAAAACAACTGTTTGGAACATTCTTAAAAACAAGGAACGCACCGGTGGGCTCAGCAACACCAAAAGACCTGGAAGATCACGGAAAACAACTGTGGTGGATGAGCGAAGAATTCTTTCCCTGGTGAAGAAAACACCCTTCACAACAGTTGGACAGATCAAGAACACTCTCCAGGAGGTAGGTGTATGTGTGTCAAAGTCAACAATCAAGAGAAGACTTCACCAGAGTGAATACAGAGGGTTCACCACAAGATGGAAACCATTGGTGAGCCTCAAAAACAGGAAGGCCAGATTAGAGTTTGCCAAACGACATGTAAAAAAGCCTTCACAGTTCTGGAACAACATCCTATGGACAGATGAGACCAAGGTCAACTTGTACCAGAGTGATGGGAAGAGAAGAGTATGGAGAAGGAAAGGAACTGCTCATGATCCTAAGCATACCACCTCATCAGTGAAGCATGGTGGTGGTAGTGTCATGGCGTGGGCATGTATGGAACTGGTTCTCTTGTATTTATTGATGATGTGACTGCTGACAAAAGCAGCAGGATGAATTGTGAAGTGTTTCGGGCAATATTATCTGCTCATATTCAGCCAAATGCTTCACAACTCATTGGACGCTTCACAGTGCAGATGGACAATGACCCAAAGCATACCGCAAAAGCAACCAAAGAGTTTTTTAAGGGAAAGAAGTGGAATGTTATGCAATGGCCAAGTCAATCACCTGACCTGAATCCGATTGAGCATGCATTTCACTTGCTGAAGACAAAACTGAAGGGACAATGCCCCAAAAACAAGCAGGAACTGAAGACAGTTGCAGTAGAGGCCTGGCAGAGCATCACCAGGGATGAAAGCCAGCGTCTGGTGATGTCTATGCGTTCCAGACTTCAGGCTGTAATTGACTGCAAAGGATTTGTAACCAAGTATTAAAAAGTAAAAGTTTGATTTATGATTATTATTCTGTCCCATTACTTTTGGTCCCTTAACAAGTGGGAGGCACATATGCAAACTGTTGTAATTCCTACACCGCTCACCTGATTTGGATGTAAATATCCTCAAATTAAAGCTGACAGTCTGCAGTTAAAGCACATCTTGTTTGTTTCATTTCAAATCCATTGTGGTGGTGTATAGAGTAAAAAAATGTTAGAATTGTGTCGATGTCCCAATATTTATGGACCTGACTGTACATCCACCGGTTATCCATATGATGTAAAAAAAAAAAAAAAAAAAAAACAAAAAAAAAAAAACTTGATTTCATCAGACCAGGCCCACCTTCTTCTATTGCTCAGTGGTCCAGTTCTGCAGCTCATGAGCCCATTGTAGGTGCTTTTAGTTGTGGCTGGCTAGGCAGCCCCACACATAACCTGTGATGCCCATTTTTCTGCTTTCAACACATCAACTTTATGGATAACATGTTCACTTGCTGCCTAATATATCCCACTGACTTTCAAATGCTATTGTAATGTGATGATCAATGTTATTCACTTATCCACTCTCCTTCATAAAGGATGGGGGGGGGGGGTTTAATCATCCCCCCTTCATGTGCCACTTTTTTGAGGTTTCTCAATGAAGTGTTACCAAAATGTATTTATTTCAGGTACTTATATAGCGGCATAAATTTTTGCAGCGCTTTATATACATATATTGTATAGTTCCTAACTCACATTCATCCATAAACATACTAGGGCCAATTTAGACAGGATCCAATTAACCTACCAGCATGTCTTTGGAGTGTGGAAGGAAACCGGAGTACCCGGAGGAAATCCACGCAGTCACAGGGAGAATATGCAAACTCCAGGCAGGTGGTGGCGTGGCCGGGATTCGAACCAATGACCCTAGTACTGCCAGGTGAACGTGCTAACCATACAAATTGATTCACCTAAAGCTTACCACACACACATTACAATATGATTGTACAATCTCCTTTACATCACCAACAATTATGCAGTTCAAGGGTGTGGCTGAGTGAATCCAAATTAAATGGATAGATTAGGACTTCATATTACATAGTCATTCATGGTGAGGAAATTTCATTAGATTTGCAGCTTGTGGCTGGAATGCATGAATCATGCAGCCTAAAGGCCACGTTCACCTTTTTTTTTTTTTTTTTTTTAAATAAAGGACACCGCCTGCTCTTCTGTATGGGCGGTCGGATATAAATGGACCGCCTGTCCATTAACACTGTCATCCGATTGGAAACAGTCAGATGGAGGGGGACATATCCCAAACCGTTTGTTTTTAGTGGATCAAATTGAATGTAGTTGGGTGTAAAGGAACACATGTCCGTTTACACCTGCAGCTCCATAGAGGAGAATGGCAGGTCTGATGGGGTCCATCTGAAAAACGTACTGGCGGACCTGATTGGTGCACTAGGGTGAAAGAGGCCGAATTCGAATGCAGTTTGGAGGGACATTTCCCCAACCAAAGTGCCACCTTACATGTGGAACTCTTCATGCTTCACAGCACTATAGTTTATTTGTGGGTCTGTTGACCCCAAGTCAGTTGTTGTATGAGTATGTGTTGAATGAGTACTGGAATAGAGTGGGGAATTATGGCTACAAGAATTAATTACTAGAATATTGACATAAAAATTCAAACTCCATTTTTAATCTAAATCATTTTGAGTGGAGTAACATAATAAAAAGCTGCCTCTGATGGGGATGATGATATGGAAGAGAGTTTATAGTACAAAAAAATCTAAATATCTTTAATACCAGCTAAATGTTTTTACAATCCAAACAAGCATTTTGCTTATCTTTTCTTCTGTGGCTCCAGTTACTAATAATCAGTAGACTGAAACCCACCACTAGACCTGGACATTTAAAGCTGTCTGCCTCTGATGAACAAGAATGCAGACACATTGGGGTTGATTTACTAAAACTGGAGAGTGCAAAATCTGGTGCAGCTCTGCATGGTAGCCAATCAGCTTCTAACTTCAGCTTGTTCATTTAAACTTTGGAAGAAAAAAAAAAAACTGGAAGCTGACTGGTTTCTATGCACACGATTTTGCACTCTACAGTTTTTGTATATCAACCCCAGTACCTGTATTTATCCCCCACCAAAAGCAACATGTTCATTCGTATCAGTTAATTACTGGTGAAGGGCTAGGGGCCCTTATCCCACTGCTGGGCATTAATCCAATTGAGGTTTTGCACTTTGTTTCTGGAAAACATTGAATGTATATCATCACTGAGATAAGCTTTATTGCTACAAAGTTTCTGGGAGACATGGAAGATCTTTCATAGATCAGTACTCAAGATATGAAAGTTAAACTGTGTCAGAAGTATAGTAAAAACCTACTTTCCATGTAAACATTTCGTAGCCTATGCAACTATGACAAAGGTCTTAATTTCTTGCTGAAATGACCTCACAACACAATACTTACACAGATTCTGCATCCTTCTCCTTCTTTATTATCGTTGGAAGTCCAAATGGCTTTCTTTTCTTCGGCCTCAATCCTGTGAAAAAAATGGGATAAAATTTCAGTTGTGGTGGATCTGGCATGAAAGCCTATGTGTGTTACAGAACCACATGCTTCAATGCACAATCAAACTCAGAATAACTCACCTTCTACTGCAATGGCTGTGTTGCATGTTTCAAACTCGATGGGACCTTAAGGAAATGAAAAAAAAATTTTTTAACATGGAAACTCTTGAAAAGCAGAAAAGCATACAGGCACTGTTTAATGAAACCAAATATTCGGTGGATCATGATGTAATCACCCTTGCTGTGTTGAAAGGTTGCCCACATAAACAAGGTGACAACACTATTGGAGGTACCTTTGCCCTGTTTCCTGGTTTTCTTTCTGAATGTACTACAATTATTCCAACAACCACACTAAGCTCAGTAAAAACCTGATTAATGAACACTCTAGCAATTCTTCTATATTTTGTATGTGATCACTGCCAGCAGCTATAGCCCCTGGCAGTAATCATTGTGATCTATCTGCACGGAAGGCTCCCAGCCAGCAGAACACAACAGAGCTGTGTGAGGCTTTACCCATCCAAACTGACTGTCTTGATAGAGGAATCAAGTAATTTTCTTTCCTTTCACCCATCCCATGGCAAGACCAATCTTCGGTTAAAAGAAGGCTTTGGCTACACAAAACTGTTGTGCTTCAATATAAAAAACTGCATCCACAATAAAATCATGCAGTTTTTTTTTTTTTTTTGCAAAGCCCCTGTTTGCAAAGCCCCTGTTCTCCCAAGAGCTCATTCAATAGCATCACGTCCTTTTCATGTGGGATGACTGTACATAACGAAATGATATTCAGTATAACCAAAAGCCACCCACTTTCCTGTCCAAGGACCCAAATATTTCTTACTGGATTTATGTACTTCAATATATGTATGTTTGTAATGCACTGTTTTGGAGGCGTGGAAGGAAGCTTACCCAGCAGGACTGAGGAAACATCTTAATGAGCAAGAGTAAGTAATGGTATTTCCTTTGAAATCTCGCTGTTGCTCATTTTGGTCTAGAAGAAAAAAAAATGTACTTACCTGATCCTATGGTCCTTCCTGCAGCTAGACAGGTCCCCACAGCTTCTTCTCCCCCACACTACAGCAGTCTAGTGCCCTAATGTCAACAAACCAAAGAAGGGGCCATAGCCTTGCACTGGACACAATGATGCTAAGGTACAGTTTACTTCTGAAGAGTGTGGGAGCCCCATCTGCTAGGGGCATGGAGGATCAAGTAAACATGACAAAACAAGCTATTAACCCTTGAAGCATGGGCTCAGCCCTACTGCAAGAGAGATTTCTTCAGTTGTCCGAAGTTGGGCTTTAAAGTAAAGCTGGTGCTAGAGCATAGATTTTTTTTTAGTCAGATACAAGCATTAATTATGAATAATCATACTATGCTCTGACTTCAACAATTGATATGACAAATTGTCCATAGGCTTAAACTGTACTTTTGAATTGGATTTTTTTTTTTTTGAGCTAAAGCATCCATAGAGTTAAATGAGCTCACTAACTATAACCATATTCACCAATATCCATTTCATGCAAAATTATAATAGAAAAGAATTACATGCACTGACACATGTTGCCTAACATTGGCGGTATATACATAATAAATGTGGATCTATGTAGAACACATATAACCAAGGCTATACCAATGGAAGCTCTTTATGACGCATTACACATGTTGTGTCTGCCCCCTACTGCACATTAGGTGCAAGCCACTGAATGTACAAGAAAAAAAACTGGCTGAAGTGCCAGTCAACCCAAAAGTTAATGAAAACAGTGACAAAATGAAGGCATCAAACATTTATAAGATTTTAAAAAAAACACAGCACCTAAATGTATCGTGAATAACCAACTTCTTAACCAGTAAATCTTGGGAAAGAACACTGTAGGCAACATTTTCCTAGCCACACATGTAATGTTTCTCGGGAAGTACAAATATTCTTTATTGAATTATATTATATATTTTATACAAAATATGTAATATATTTTATAATAAACCAAAATCTTTAAATTTTAGAGTGAGATTTCTAATCGGGAGTGATTTAAATACAACACTTACACAAGTGCAACTATGCATTTAGGGCAACCTATTCATATCAATGGGCTGCCCTACACACAACAATCGCACAAAAGTACAGACACCTTTTTTTCTTAAATTGCATCACACTACAGCGCCTAGCAAGTTACCATTTGTTGCAGTAAAATTTAGTGTGTGTGCAATTGGAGTATGATTGAGAGAGAAAGGCACCTAAGAGCATCTGCCAGGAAACAGCTAATATTCATGTGCTGTGAGAACACATGCAATATCACCAATGTTCCCACATTGCATAACTGGGAATTGAAGCCTAAGTGATCATTTACAACAATAACATTTTGTAAAAACAATTGTTTGCAAAGAATGATTTTCTAAGAAGTTGGAAAATTATTCTGACCAGTATTTATGATTTAGTTTTTTTTTTGTCAGTGATTCCATTTGCAGCATAATTATTGAATAATAATTCAATTATACCTCCCCATAGTCAAAGTTTCAATAATTCTTCCAAAAACATTGTCTGCATACTACCAGCCTTAGTTACATGGCAAAAAGCTTAATACACATTTGAATCATAAGACTGACTATACAGACTTACAAATCCTTTGGCTGGTAAATGGTATGATCATTTCTGTGTTTTTACTGGTTTCTTTGGAGTATATATTTATCATAAGCAAATGAAATAAAATGATACCCCCTACCCAACTGCAGGCACCCTAGGTTTTCGTGTTTTACCACTAGCACTCCTATCCTTTCCCTGGTCCATTACAAACATTATCTAAAAGTGAAATTCTGTAAGTCAATAACTAATACTAAGCACTCCCCACATCCCATATGACATTGCTTAGACCTAACTGTTAAATACACTGAATTGTGGAAGGCCAGGAGTAGCATGTATGTGTGACCCATACCCAGAAGTACCAGGACTTTCAGAGTCAGACTGCAGTGCAGACTGGGGAGGCATACTTAATTGCGGATAGCAAGTAAGTGTTCATGCACACTGGTCTAAAAGTTGCTGCTTCCACCGGAGTTTGGCGCTTTTCCTGTAGATGCAGCTCAGTGTTATTCTATGTGTCCATGCACAGTAGGAGGCATATATTACGCTCAGCTTTTAGAGGCAGAAAAACAAAAAACGTTCTGGTTTACGTTTTTGAAAAGAGTTTTCTGACAAAAAAAAAAAAAAATCTTCTAAATGCTCCTAAATGCTTGTACAAAAATGTTCTACGTGAGCTTTTTTTCAACCAAAAGAACTGGCGATTTTTTTAAAGCCAGTGTGCAATGACCCTTACAATAAGAGAATGGAGTTATTTTATCTTTGAGTTATCAATAATAGGTTTGATTTAAAGATCAAGTCCATGTTACACCATGTTTCATGTTACACTCATAATTAGGGTCTAGCATGAAAAGTGATATGATACATCATTCCCATAACCTTGTCTTATGAACCCTTCTTCTTCTCCCCATTCTGCAATACAAGCCTGTGAATTGCACTTGCGATGCACTCTGCAGGCTTCATTGCAAGAAAAACCTAAAATACAAAAATGCAGTTAACAGTAAACTAAATGTTTTGTAGGATAAACAGTGGGCAGAGAATTAGCAACTATTATTGAGTGCCTTGTATTTATTTCCCACTTTTCCCACTTGTTGAGTGCCTCGTATTTCACCACTGCATGTCTGTAAACAAAGACATTAAAACATTTATTGGAAAGTAACTTGAGTGCTGTGCTGATATGAAGGCTTTTCCCACTTGTCTGATGGTACTAGGATGATCACAGACAGAAGACCTTTAGCCAAGAAAAATGGTTAAGAGATCTGTAAAGCTAGCCATAACCTGATTAAAATTTCTCCCGTTCAGCATGGACAAGCCAAATCCCAATCAGTGCATGTCAGTCCCCATTTGACAGAAGTTGATCATTTAATTGACCTCTATCAAAGTTATATGTTTGAAAAATTTCTCACATTTTCAGCTGGAGCCGTTGATCGATGATTCCTGAAATGGGTAGGGTGCCGCTTTCAGAATAAAATGTCCCAGATGGGAGAATTCCTCCATCCAACTCATTTGTGTGTATGGAGGAACCTATTAGTTTTTTTTTCGTTCAGCCTGCAGGTTTAAACAAAAACCTACAGTGTAGGGACAGCTTAAAACTGAATCGTTGCTCATGTCATCCCTTCACCCCGGCTCCAGCCTCATTTGGATGAAGACCTCATGGCAAACGGAGATCACATTTCTATGAAAAATCTGGCTCTCTGCTCACTGAAGACCAAAAAATGAGCAATTTGTTTGATCACTCAGTTCTTGGTGTAGAGCTGGCAGGGGACTGCTGCAGCTCAGATCCAAGCTGTAGCCATCTAGCAGAGTGTGATTGATTGTTATTTTATAAACCCACATATCTCTTTTATTGGAATCTCACATGAGAGAAAAGTGATGGCTGCCATTGTTGATCACTTTGTGAAAATGCTAGTTGATGGGCTGTCATACTGATCCGCTTATTTTAATCATTTTTGAAAAATTGACAAGAAGTATGCAAATCAGTACGGTGACTTCTCTGGCTACATACTTGTTCTGAATCACTGGAGTACTGAGACAGCCAGGTAACTAGCGTTTCAATAAGAAGCTTGGTAATGGTAGTGCAAATAATTTTTTCAGTACAGAATTTATTTAATGTTTTTTTTTTTTTTATTAGTAGTCATAACCAAAGGATTTCTGTATAATTCATACTGGCGGTCTGAACATTTTTGTAGCAGTTATATGACTGGATACACATATAGGCAGGTAATAGCCTAATGTTTATGTGTGTTTTGCAATGCAATTATACTACGCAACGTGGAAAGCAAGCTTTTTGGCCAAAAAAACAGATACACTGTACCGTGCTGCTATACAATCTGAATTAATCATCTTTTTATAGAAAACAACAGAAAACTACTTCCAACTCTTTTAAAAATGTATGAGAGAATTAGAAAAACAAAAAGTTAATTTTGCAACAGGATTATCCCACAGAGGGATTTTGAGGTTCTTTTTGCATCTCTTGCATGAGCTTCCCATGCCACAGTGAGTGGCAAGGCTTTGCGTGCCTGGCATGGTGCCAGTTGACAGCCCAGCAGGATATCAGTGCACATCGTGACCTCCCTCCTGCGGCGTGTCACTTCGCAATCGTTTCCGCAGTAGAAAGTTTATTCAACCTCTCTCTGGAAATTCAGTGGACCGGCCATCATTCTGCTATTTAATCAGAGTGGGACATTTTATTTTTCTGACAGCACTAAAGCCACAGAGCAATTCCTAATGAACAGCTTGATACAAGTGGAATTTCAAATGTTTTAGCCTCAATTAATTCTGCTGTCAAAACAAATGGCTGCTCTTAGCTCTACAATGTTAAAGCTAGGTCAACAAAGGTCATGCCTGTGAGTACACAATCAAGCTATTTTTCAGCATTCTACCCAAACGGGTTGCACCGAGTGCGAAGGCTACTGGTTCAAAAATATAATAGAAAACAACAATTTAGCAGCTGTTAATTGTACAACCAGTGATGTACCTTGCACGCCACTGAAACAAAGACTACTACTTGCTTACTACTAATGGTGCTCATGCATGTGTAGGCTGCCTGCAAAACTTGGTTTAGGCTGTTTTTGCCAATAACCAGCCTGTAAACAGAGTCCTTCCAACTTGTTAAAGTAGAATTCAAACCAAATATGTAACATTTTGTACAGATCCCAATATTTGTCACATGTAACCACATATAAAGCCAGACCTGCTGCAAAACTGGCTACTAGCTGCTGGTAACAGCAAACTCTTCAATGGCATAATAGGCTTGATTAGGGCAATTGAGCTACTAAGACCATCACTGTCAAGCTCCGATCTCCTTTTTCTGTACTGCAGTTACAGCAATACAGATTGGTCAAAGCCTGTGACAGAGTAGAAACACATTTATGAGGTTAGTCTTGTGCACTCCCCTCCTGTTAACCAGCTACTGGTGTCCAGTGCAACGTGCAAAGCCTTACAGCTTACAGTACTGCCCAGTTCTCTTCCAATCTGAATCATGCACAGTGGCATCATGTACATTAAGCTGATCTAAAGTATACTAGATCCTCTTGGAGCCAAGAAAAGTGATTCCTGCAAGTTTTACAGAGGCCTTTCTAGGGATGAATCTTAATGACGCTTAAAAGACTATTTCGACATGAGCAATGTTTGCAAATCAGAGCTAAACGTTTTTTGACACATTTCCGTGATCGCCATGATATGAGCAGCTTGACTGGGCATGGCAGAGGATGTGCAAAGCAGTGAGGGGCTGAGGGACGGAGGCACCAAGCAGTTCCAAATCAATGTGTTACAAAGCACATTACATCTGCCAGGCACTATGCCCATAAGGGAATAAAAACAACCAGCATGTACACAATTTCAATTGACTCAACGTGACCTGTCACACAGCAGTAAGTGGTAAGCATGACCTGTACAGACTGATAAACCAGAAGCCCACTGCTGAACCATATTACTCACCAGGCCTTTCTTTTCCAGTGCCTTTAGACTCCGCAAACTGTTCTAGTAAGCTTTCTACTGTGATGTTTGCCATGTTGTTTATAAACTCTTCATGAACCTGAAAAGAAACAACGCAAACAATTATTTTCTGTGAATTCCAATATTCTCTGCAGACATTTTATGAATGACATTTAAAGGAGACATCTTCATACATCACAAAAAAATGGAAACCGCAGTGGCACTAATACTAATTGTATTATTGTTTTAACTTGGAAGTGATCCTCGCTGTTCTATCTGGGGTTCTCAGTCCTTCCCATCCAACAGTGCCAAAGCATTATGGTCTTAACTGACATTTCTTATGCATTAAAGACCACTAGCAATTCCAGGATAGCAGCTGTGAAAACGGTTTGTAAAAACAACTCTATCTTTAAAAGTCTGATATGCAATCTGTGTTCAATATGCCCTAGAAGGACACACCAGTCTTTCCCATTTGGTTGGAAAAGTTATTTAATTATTTTTTCCCTGTGGACTGAGCTAAGCCAACAGAAACTTGTCATGAAAGAAATATGAAGACTGCTACACCCTCTTTTTGAAAATGACAGCTGTCTGTCTGTCAAGCTGATGCTTTAGCTTTAGTATTTTCTGAGTCAATGACCAATAGGAAAGGATAAAAATGCTAACTTTCTCTGACTTACACCCTGCATGCTTGTTTTACGTTTGTGACTCAGACGTATATTATATTACATACTACAGCAATGGCAGTCATATTATTTCGCTCAAGATGGGTGTCACTCCACAAAACACAATACATCAGTGTAGCATAAAGGAAAGCTGTAGCTAGAGAAATAGGGTGGCTAATACTGTTTATGCTAGAAAATGCTTGGTGCCTGGCTGTACGGCTGAACCTCTTTCTTCATTAATTTGACTCACAGACTCAAAACAATTCTGCAGATAAGGACTTTTTTTTTATCTAATCTGCCACCTATTCTGGGTCTGTGACCCAAAATGCCTGAGCAGCAATCGATTAATAAATGCCTAATCCTTGTTTTTCTTCCACCAAGTCTCTAAAACATTGCAACTTTCAAGAATGTCACTTTACAGTGTTGGGAACAAAATTCTCTTGAAGCAAACCCTTCAGGGAAGGAAAAAACCCAGCCATCCCCACCACCAATAAGGGTCAAGTTTAGGAAATCTCTCTCTCTCTAACCTCATAAATACACTAGGTGTATTCCCATGCCTAGGTGCATAGTTACCTCCAGCAACATCCTTCCAGAAGTCTGGGCCATAAAAATCCAGTGCCGGGCTGCAGATACTTGAACATTAACATCCCAGAGAAATAAATTGTATGCAGTTGTATAGTAGGACTAATGTCCCATTTAAGTCTAAAGGACATTAGTGTGCAGGCGTCGAGCCTTCTAACTGTTTTCCCGTCAGAGGAGAGAAGTAAAAACATGGTGGGGAATCGTCAGCTTAGTGAATTTAGGGGACTGGGAAGAGAGGCACAAGGTCTTTTAGAAAATGTATTTACATTTCAGAAATTAATAAATACTCACAGACATAAGTGATCTCTGTAATCCCCACAAAACTTTAAGATTCAGCAAAATCATTATAAGCATTATTACTTGAACAGCAAATTTTATACATCAGTGACCTACGAATCCTATCTGGTAAACACTCTGTGCTAATGTCAGAAAATGAATGAGTTTTCTGTGTAGTCTCTTGTAGCTTCACCTAATGTATCCCATCCCAAGGTACTGGGATAAGCAGCTCATACAAATGCCCAAATACATATACACAGAAACACCTTTTAGACCAGGTCTGCGGTGTCAACATGTATCAGCACTTTAATGCCCAGCTGATATTTCAGTTTAAGTCAGCTTAATGCATTCCAGGTTCATCAAAACAAACATTCTCCAAAGTCTTCCAGTCCATCATCTTTAAATAGTAGGAATAGTAAGAAAAGCCTGCCATTCTGCCAACATGTTGTACAGAAAAAACAATGTTTTCTCTCCCAATGGCAACAGTAGTGTTTCTGCAGAGGTCTGACATGCTCCCTAGTCAGAGTTACAGCTCTGCAATCAGCAAAGTTTGCGGTTCTTGCTGATTGGAGAGCTCCAGCTGTGAATCAGGGGATGTGTCTACTACATAGTAAAGCTGGATATCCACAGGGAGATCTGAGTGTAATGGGGACAGTGAAAAAAAAAATTAAATAGTCAAAACATACCTGGCCAATCTGAATATGAACCTCACTGATAGAATGAGAAAAGCAACCAATGATATCTTTAATCCGAATGAGATGTGCCTTTTCGATGTCTTGGAATTTCTGAAAATAAGAAAACACAGTAGCAATAAAACATATTAAAAAAAAAGAAAACAAATTCTTGTTTTTATTTTAGATAGAGCAGGCCTTCTAAAGCCCTAAGCATACTAAACGTGTGGTAACTTTGGCTATACCACTTGAATACGCTTTCATACTAAAAAAGTTACAAAGTAACCAAGAAATGTAGCTCAACAATCCACACAAATTATGAGAATAAAAAAAAAAGCATGCCAATTCTTTTTTTCTTGACTGAAGCAAACCAATGAAATACTTAAAATCTCGTAATGACCCACATCCTGGGCGTGGTGACTATTACTGTAGTAATGGATTGACATTTTTCACAGCCAGAGAAACAGGATACACAAGCTGCGCCAACATGTTTATCAGCTGAACAGCTTATCGCAGGCAAAAATGTAGCAATGCAAAATGCAGGATTTAGACTCATGCACACTAGCGGTTTTTTTTTTTTTTTTTTAAGCTAAAAAAAAAGAAAATGCTGGAAAAAAACTGCTGGCAATAGAATTGTTTTAGTAGCGTTTTAAAAGCGTTAGCGTTTTTACAGCACATGTAGGGGAAAAAAAAAACCCTAGAAAGAAGGTTAGGAGCATTTTAGTAGCGTTTTTTTTTTCTGCCGGAAAAATGCTTCCAAAAACTCTACAAAAATTTTTTTTTTCTGCTCCTAAACACTGTAGCTTGAAAAATGCTACCACACCCAATGTGTGTGTGGTTTTCGTTTGGGAAAGTCCGTTTATTCCAAAATCAAATGGTGATAGCAAATACAATTTTTAAGTACTTTCTTCATATATCTTAAATGTATTGAGAATTTTCGTACAAATGTTAGTTAAAAAAACTAGTGGTGCACCGAACTGAAAATTCTGGTGCCGAAACCGAAAATTCAATATTATTATTATTATTATTATTATACAGTATTTATATAGCGCCAAAGGTTTGCTCTGCGCTGTACATTATAGTGGGGGACAGTACATGAGACAATACAGTAACAAAACAATACACGAGGGGTTCGAGGGCCCTGCTCTTTCGAGCCTACAATCGAGGGAGGGGATAGTGGTACAGGAGGAAGTGGCTGTGGGGGATGGAGTGGTATGCACTTATGCATAATAAGTGTACAATATGGACTTGGCCTAAAACTGAAATGCGCAGTTTTTAAAAATGAATATATATATTTTTTGGAAAAACAGTTTGATTTAAAAAAAAACAAAACAAAACAAAAAAAACAATATATACCCCAATTGTTTGATAAAATATGAAAGAGGATGTTACGGCGAGTAAATAAATACCCAACAAATCACACTTTGAAATTGCGCACGCTCGAGGAATGGCGTGAAACTGTGGTACCTAATCTCCATGGGTGATGCTTTAATAATTTCTACAGGTTAGCAATGTAAAGTTACAGAAGAGGTCTAGTGCGAGAATTATTGCTCTTGCTCTGACGTTTGTGGTGATACCTCACATGTGTGGTTTGAACCGCGGGCGGCGGCGATGGGCTGACACCCAAAAAGGGGTGTTTTTGGCCAAAACGTTTCGGCCACCAAAATTTCGGTGCATCCCTACAAAAACTACTAGCTTATGGACAGATTTAAACAATGGCATCTGGTGGCCAACTGCAGATGTAGGAGAAAGGGCCTTTTTTAAACTAATATAGTTAAATTGTAAGGCTGCATGCACACTGGGCTTAGAAAAACACCAGTTCCCTTGGCAGAAAAAAAATACTTAGAGCGTTTTTTATACATGTGTTTAGGAGCATTTAGCGTTTTTTTCTGCCAGAAAACTTCTCTCAAAAATGTAAACCAGAAGGGTTTTTACTACCTCTAAATTCTGAGGTAAACTATGCCTCTAAACATTGGCATGTGCATGGACAGATAGGATAACACCGAGCTGCTCAGTGTGCACAGAGCCTAAATGCGTATACATATTTTGTTACATTGTTTGAAAATGCTGTCAAGCTTGAAAAGATAATCATGATCCACTAAAACTAGAATACAGTATAACAGTCAATAAAAGTGTTAGCGTACTCAAATTTGTATAAGTGCAGTATGGTCTGGAAACACTAGATGGCACACAAGATGTGTCAAGTCATCTTATACAGCCCGACTACTGAGAACCTCATCCTTTTACTGAAACCAACAGACATTACAACTACCTATCTTTAAACATGAAGAAAAAGGACACCTTCAAAAGTGCAAAGTATGTAGGCAAAGAACACACCGCTGCCATGCACCAGTTACACAGGATCTCAAAGAATGCATATGCAAAAATGACTGCTTAAAGGCTCACCTTTCACCACTGCTTAAAGTTCACTTAAAGAAAGAAAAAAAAAAAATGCACATTTTTTTTTTGCAGGTGAAAAAAAAATGTGCATTTATTATTATTTGGTTTCTTCCTGTAAAGTATTGAACCCAAGACCATCAGACTGTCAGTAGAGCTGTCTGCCCATACCTCCAATACAGGCAGGCAGATCAATGAACTACAAGAGCGCTCACCATCACCCTCATAGTTCATTGAGAACTACAAGCCATCAACTTGTGGGGCCCCGCAGTGCATTTGAACTGTGAGAGCGGGTGCAGGGAGAGGATCCCCTTCCCGCTGTCATAATGGGGATCAGAACAGGTGGTGGCACATGATTTAGTAACATGTTACAATATGTTAAATGTTACACATATGGGTGTAACATTTAACATATTACTGAAGGTGAACTTATCCTTTAACCCACTAGGACTTTTTTCACCACTATTCTTTTATACTGCCTCTTTAAATTAAATAAAATAATTTAGAGATTGGATGACAAGCTTAGTGTTGTGCAGGGTAAGGCATCCTTGACACTCCAGCTGTGGGGAAACTACAAATCCCATCTTACCTCTGCCTTCAACATTCATGCCTGTAGCTGTCAGTTTTGCAATGCCTCATGAAATTTGTAGAAGTGACTCCCATGCACATGCGTGGGAATGACGCCATCGCGGCTCGGCCATTCAAGCTGCTGGAGCTCGTGAACCTGGAAGAAGGACCGAGTGAAGATGGAAGCTCTGTCAGCAGTGACAGCGAGCCACTGGAGGGCTTCGTTTCAAGGTAAGATTCACATAAAGTGCTAGTATGCGATCCATACTAGTATGGAGCGCACACTAGCACATTATGCCATTGTCTTGCAGATCGCAGTTTACTACTGCTTTAAGGTAAAAACCTTCTAAGTGCAGCTGCCTCCCCAGACTCCCCCCCCCCCCCCCCCCCCCCATACCTACCTGAGCTTGATCTCCAGCACTGGGCCCCAGAACTTTAGCTCATAGGCTCAGAGACAACAGTGGAAGCCATTGGCTCCTGCTGCTGTCAATCTCAGTCAGTGAGGAAGGAGCAGGGTGCGGGCCGAGCCAGGCTTTGCCTAGTGAGCGAGCACACATGAGTGCCCCCATAGCAAGCGGTTTGCTATGAATGGCACTCAGCGGAGTGAGGAGCCAGGAGTTTCAGTGGGGGGATGCCTGAAGAGGAGGATTGGGGCTGCTTTGTACAAAACCTTTGCACAGAGCAGATAAATATAACATAGTTGTTATTTTTTTAAAAAAATATGCGTTTACAATTACTTCAAGCTCTGAAAATGAAAGACAGAATCTGATTGGTTGACCTGCACAGCTGCTTCAGATTCTGTGTGCTATGGTGCTGGTAAATTTTCTTCCTAGTGTAGAGCTTGTAAACTGACACTGCTCCTCTGCAGTATTTTATACTTCTAGCAATGATCTAAACTCCGCCCCCCCCCCGGCTCTGACGCTGGTGAATGTGTCATACATGTTGCAAGACGAAGAGCAGTTATTTCCCCCATTACTACACTTGCTCTGAACTTCATTCAAGTTCATTCATGTGCCCCTGTGAATGTTTATTATGTAATCTGTACAGAGGAAACGGTCACCCCTACATTATTAGCAGAGAGACTGTGGCATGTTCTACAATAAATTCATGGAAACTAAACAGCTTCCTAACAAATTCTCATTGAACATTTTATGTCAGTTTCATCTTATTGCTAATTGATAATCAATGGCAGTATTTGTTCACAGTTGGGAATGGTTTGGTATTAGCTGAAAGTCCACACATAATATTGTAATCGGATTGCCCTGTAACCAACTAAGGGCTCGTTCACACTTGACTGTTTTTCCAACTCTTGTCAAACGCCCCTATAGCATTTGACAAGCGTTGGTCCGGCGTTTGCGGAGTGTTTTTTAATGCTCTGCAAACGCCGCATGCGCAGTTTAGCGGCGGTTGCTAGGCGTTTGCAAAGCATTAAAAACGCCCCACAAATGCCTATAATGAAGTTTGAATGGTGTTCCTGCTCCGCAAACGCCCCGCAACTGCGTCGCAACCGCCGGCCGGGCGTTTGTGGAGCGGTACCATAGACTTGAATAGGAGGCTTCAACTCCTCCTGACTCGACCAGAGGCGTCCGTTTTCCACGACGCTAACGCTCCCGTGTGAACAGCACCATGTGCTGCAATGTGCAGAATTTTCCTAGGCTTTGGGAAGCGGTAAAAACGCTTCCCAAACGCCTGTCTGCCGCTTGCAAACAAGGCTAGTGTGAACGTAGCCTAACCCTCCTTCAGTAGTATGTAATAATATATTATTCTGCTCAGCTTGTTGATGAGAAACTGAACATATGGAATGGAGTGTTAATATTTACAAATCAGATTAGAAACCTTAATGATAGATTTTGGAGACATTACAGGCATTAACTGGTTGAAATTTTTTTTTTTTTTTTTTTTTAACAGCAGCAGTTCTTTTTAAATGACTGTCACTGTCAAAGTATTCTACAAAAAACAATGGCTGACATAGGGGCCAATTTCTGAACACTGGAGCAAAGGAAAGTAAAAGCATTGCCCACAGCAACTGTTCAGAATCCTTTTTCAACTCTCACACTATAAGATCAGGAGAACAAATCTACAGGAAACGGTTCGATATCTACTTCTCTGATTACCACAGGCCACCCATCAAGCTGTCATTGGCCCCCAAT